GGTGGTACGGTCACATTTGTATGAAACATAGTTCGGAACTTTGAGACGATGGCATGGTTTCGCATGAGTCTCAGTTATCATGCCAATGTCAATATCGTGATCAATACAAAATTGTTGGAATTCACCAATTCGATTATGGAGGCCATTGGCGTTCCAGAAAACGAAACGGATAGTTGTCAGCCGTCTGGTGTAATTATCCATGAATTTGGGAGTCCGGATTTCGTTCCTGATGTGTAGTTGAGTTTTCATCAATTAATTTCTTGCACAGAAAAGGAATTCCAGATTCCTTAATGAAGGTGACCAACATACTTAGTTGTTGGAACATTTGTTTGGCCTCTGTCATCATTTTCATAGCTTCCGGAGCGAGTCCCGTAGTTAATGCCTGAGCATATGATTTATTCGTCACTATACGTTCATTGAACGTTTTAGCTTTGGGAGTCACTTTCTGCTGTGGAAATTTCTCACATCCTCTATAGTTGGCTGTGTGTCCAACTTGCAAACAGTTGGCACATTTCGGAGGTTCAGATTTATCCTTTGAACAATTGAAAGTTTCGTGTGCGCCTCAGCGCAACGAACACAACGCGGCTCGTGATTGCAGTTCGCGAACGAGTGGTGGAACCCTTGGCAGCGATAACACTGCAAGGGTCCCGCTCTGCCCTTGTAATCCTCAACTTTGATTTTCATTCCCATAAGGAAAGATTCTTGATGGATTCTCTTATTTTTGTCATTTCTCTTAAGAGTAATGAGAAAGAGGGGGAGGTTGATTACATCACCATTTCTTCGTCTTTTCAATTGGTTGACACGGATGACGTCATAATTTTTGGCGACTAATTCTTCAGCAATTTCATTAATGTCCATGTAAGCCGGTAAATGCCGGATTACTACTTTTAAATTTTTAGATGCAGGTAGCTCAAAACAGTGGAAACTCACCTTTTCATCTTTCAGAATTTTCTGGACTTGTTTAAAAATAGTTGGTATTTTTACCAATATCTTGAATCCGTCCTGGATTTGCTGACCGAAGTAGTCACTTTCAGAGTACAGTCCATGCTTCTTTAAGAGCGCTCTAGCTTTATTCCAGTTGAAGTTGGTATCTCTTACAATGAAGGGCGGAAGCCGTCCGCCATTCTTGTTAGGATTTACTGATTCCGGTGGAATTTCATCTATTTTTCCATCATCAATGGTTGCTGTTTCCATGGATATTGGTTCAGCAGTGCTGGGATCATCTATGGGCGAATTAGGGTTCGTTGCGGCTGCTTGGAGTGGTGCCGGCTTTCTGATTGGTTGCTTTCGGGGTCTCCGGGTGGTATCTCCTCTGGGAGCGCAGTCATCAGAGTCCAAACTGGCATCTAGTGCTTTATATTTCGTAAAATCTTCTTCAGACTTTGCTGGGCTCTCCGCTCTTCTGACATTAGCTTTAATATTAGGACGGGGAGGAAAATCATTTTTCATGCTGTTTCCTGATGGGGGGACCGCAGCAGTAGCAGGATCATTAGAATCATTCTCTGGTTTGTCATCTTTTAGTGGTCTGCATTCATCATTGGCAAGCGCCCTAAATTTGCAGAACAGGGCCAGGTCACGAGCTTCTCTTTCAGTCAGATAGCCTCTATCTTCCTGAATCATCTGTAGGTTCGTGATTTCCGAACCTATGAAGTCGAAAAATCGATCCATTTGTGAAAATAAAACAGTACAACGCAAGGCCTTTTACGGCAAACTGATGAACATAGTTCAACGAATGCCAACCTTCTTTTTTTTTTTTTTTTAGTACAAGTAAAATCAGATAGTAAAACGCAAAGTAATCAAAATGCAAGAGCGAGGGGACAGAGCACCTTCACGCTCAGAGATGCAATGGAAAACTCAATAATAATCAGTAGGACGCAAGTACGTTAAATAGCAATACCTCAACAACAAACTTCATACTCTGATCACAGTTACTGCTTCGACATCCGGCGCTCAAATCCGGAATCTCTCAAGGCGAAGTAGGTGGGGCTTATGTGGAAAGGCGGAACTAGGTGCGTACGAATATCCAATCAAAGAAGAGCAAGCAACCGTCAAACGAGAGCTGACTTCAATAATTTCAGCGATCGGTGCTGGCGCCATCTGTTGGACATACGGATAACCACTTGCATTCTTCAGTACACGAACTCTATGTAAAAATTTAAGGAATGCTCATAAACTGTACAAAGAAGAGCTAGAGATAGAAAAAGAGGAGCGAGATTCAAAAAAAAAAAAAAAAAAAAGCAATTAAACATTGCAGAAAATAAAAAAGTATCGATGGATTCTATAAAAGCTGCTGAAAAGAAATTGAGACAAGCTCGCAAACGGAAATTAGAAAAGTTGGCTGCAAAAGTAGCAAAAAAGAAAACTTTTTCCCTAAAAATTTTTAATCAGGATGAAGTGAGATTGAGACAAAATAGCTTTTTTTTTTTTTTTTTTTTTTTTATTTTTTTATTTTTATTGTATTCTTCCTTTAACTATATTATCTCACATGACTACTTTTTCTGGTGTTAATAAAGTACTGTTTATTGAGCTAAAAGTAAAGATAATTGAGAGCTATAGTAACAATTATATATATATATATATTATGTCTAAAACTTGTCATTGCCTGAAAATGGGCAGTAATATATAACATAAATATGTATATTAGTGTGTTGTAATGTTCTGTACAGTATTCATGTATCAACTGTTAAATTAAGTTACAGAAAGAGCATCTTAAAGAAGGTTAATTCATTACAATCTCTTGGTGATTTATTGATTTTTTTTTTTTTTTTTTTTTTTTTTTTACAAGATAAAATTAATAGCAAAATAGGAAGTACAAGTGTTATTTTAGTTTAATTATATGTATATGTTTAATACTTTTTTATATTAAAAGGTTGATATTTTATTAAAATGTGTTGTTTTGAGGTCGCGCGTGTGCAATTGAATTAGTTTTTGTGTAATTTTGTGTCCGCGCGTTGTTCAGCTTTTTTTGCCAACTTGCACTTTCATGCCTGGGAGGTGGGTTCTTGGTATCGCAGCAGAAAGCATGTTCATTTTATATATTATCTAAAGCATAAAGTATAATAATTTCAAAAATGTAACTTTAATTTCTCAGCTAAGTCATAACCTTTCATTTTTAAACTTTTTGTTTTTCAGCTTCATTTTTAGAACTTTTTGACTTCAGACTTACATAACTATATTCAACCATCCATTTCTATAGACACATTTCCTTGTAACATTATACTTGTTCAATTAGAGCGTGATATGGTTTTACTCATGCAGTGTTATATAAATTTTAACAATTTTTTTTTAAATAAAAAACTCAACCGTTTCAAAGCGAGCAGTGACAACATTGTTATGGAATGAAACATTTTTATCTTCAGCATGCAAGATTGTCTATCAGAAATTCTAAAAATATACTGTTTTGAAATATTCTTGGCCTAAATGCTCTTGAAACATGTAAGTATGTGTAGATGAAAAAAAAAAAAAAAAAAACGCTCCTTTGGGCGTAATATAAAATCTGAACGTTTTCAGATTTTAAATATTTCAATCATCATTTAATTTATTGTTCTTTATTAACTGTGAAACAAATGCTTCATAGGTGAAGAAAACAGTCCAGTTAACACTGCTGCAAATAAAATGCATAAATACTTATCGAAGAGTGTATTGGCTCTGACTCCAAATTAATCTTGGAAGCACTTCCGCAGAGAACCCGGTAAATGTAAACATCGCCAACTTTGGCGATAATAGTTCAAACTTGGTAACTCATCGGATTTATCCCATTCGCTTGTTTCGTTGTTCGCATTTGCAGATTTATATTATTATTCTGTTATTTATTATTATTTGTTCTGAATTTCTTAACAACGAATAGATAGAAATATTTTCGTAGATAGATGCCGGTTCTCGGTTCGGGATGAAAGGAGGGGTGAATGCTAATTTGTAACACGGCTGTTCACGTTGTGTTCTTAATTATTAACAGCTCTAAGTCTAAAATAATTTGTTTTCGTAGACCGCAAAAATGTGCATGTGCATTTTAAATAATTAAATAATGCTTTTATTTTTATTATTGTCATCTAAAATTATGAGAATAAATCAATTCTTATGGCGTAAAATTTAAACAAGATAATATATTGTTAATGCTTTTCTAACAATAACCTTTCAGAGGATGGCAGGTGTGGCATAAATAGATGATTAAATTGAAATAAAAAAATATTGATTATCTACGATGACAGAATAGTTTGATGCATCACCACGGTCATCAAAATTAGCAAACCACTGCTGGTGTAAGGAATATATTGTTTCTGTGTTAACAAATTTTTTTTCGTACATCACGTTTAACCGGTTAATTTCAGTATATTAATACTAATTTATATTTTTTAAATGAATTTTTATTTCCGTTATAAATGCTTATATATTGTCTTATGCTTAATAATATATTCTTTTCTGTGCTAACTTGAATTTAATACAAATTTATTTTCGTATATCACGTTTAACCGTTTAGTTTTACATCTACATGCATATTATCTGTGAATTTTTACTACCATATGCTTAATATATTGTTTTATCTGCTAACTTGAATTTACATGCACTAAAAATCACGTTTACGGCTTGGCTCATCGTCGATGAACCGCGAGTAAGAATGCAACGGCGCCAACGGGTTCTCTGCGGATGAAAACCCTTAATCTTTATTTTTACAACTCTGTTTCATCAAATAACGTCAATCCAAGTTTTAAATCAAAATAATCTTTATTTTCGTTTTTATCAAAATGTAAACAACTCTTTAGAACAATATCATTAATAATCTTTTGTTGCCATTCCAAGAACAACAAAAATTGAGTAATCTTTTTGTTGCCATTCTGAAAACAACAAAAAACAAAATGATATTAATCAGTATTTAAAGTTTCTGTACAAGTTCAAGCCACAACAGTACTCCTTTCCCAGTAACTAAGTTACAGTAGAGCATAATGTTACCTTTAAAACACTGTTTAGAATATATATATATATATTATTGATACATATAAATGCTAATCTCGAAATCGCACAGGGGGTTTTACTGTCCGCCCTACACGCGACTGTTTTGCAGGAAACTTGTTAATTTTAGGAGGTAAGTCTGTTGGAGGTTTGACAGGTTGTCTCATTGACGTTGTTGGTTGCTTCGTAGTAATGTCTGGTGTTTGCAAGAAATATGCAGGCTTTAATCTGTCAATAGACACTGTAACATCTTTGTGATTAATTTTTACTGTAAAATATTTTTCTTTTCTGCTAACCACTTGAAAAGGACCATCATAAGGGGGTTCTAATTTCTTTTTAACTCTGTCTTTGCGAATAAACACATGCGATGTTGTTTTCAAGTCTTTAGGAACGAATGCCCACCAGCGGCCTAGCGGTAAAATCGTTGAACACTGGTTGTTCGGTCCGAGGTTCGAATCCCGCGAACGGGCTAGCTGCATGGGCGTTTTCGTGGTTTTTCCCATGTGTAACGTGTATACGAGCCAGTTTCGCTTAGAAAGCCCTCCGCGAAGGCATCCCTTCCCTCAGGCAAATAGCCCTAGTGTGCTTTGCCATAATTAAATAACCACCTTTAGGGACGAATATTTTTTGGACATATTTATCAGATACTGTTCTTGGTCCAATTGTTTCCATAGTTTCTTTCAGCTGCTTGACAAAAATGTCAGGTGTAGGAGTTGTGCTATCGGAGAAAAATTCTCCAGGTAATCGTATATTTTGTCCATAAACCATTTGAGCAATGGTATATGCAGAGTATTCCTGCATAGCTGTGCGTAAGCCAAGAAGAACAGTTGGAAGTGTTTCAGTCCAGGCCAGGCTATTGTGTGCCATAAGCGTGCGGTCTTGAGAGATCTATGGAGGCGCTCTACCTTTCCCATTTGCTTGGGGGTGGTAAGCCGTTGTATGTTGTAATTTTATTCCACACATTTTTGATAGGTTGTTGAACAACTCTGAACTAAACTGAGGTCCACGATCTGTGACTAGGCGACAGGGCGTCCCAAATCTTGAAATCCAATTAGAATAAAATGCTTTAGCAACTGTGTCTGCTGAAATGTTGTTAAGTGGAATCACTTCCATCCAGTTAGAGTACCGGTCAATGCAAGTGAGACAGTAAATATTCCCATTTGATGGTGGTAGGGGTCCAATAAGATCAATATGCACGTCACAAAATCTTTCTGAAGGCAGTTGAAAATCACCGAAACTTGATTTTGTGTGTCGATTAATTTTACTTCTTTCGCAAGCCATGCAAGATCGAGTTCCAAAGCTGCACATCTTTACGGATACTTGGCCAAATAAATTTAGACGATAAGAGTTTTACAGATGACTTAATACCAGGATGGGCTACATTATGCATTTGATAAAATATTTTCTTGCGATAACTGTCTGGAATATATGGTCTGATATTATTCGTTGAAGTTTCTCACCACAAAGACTTCCCAGAAGGTAGTGGATACTGCTTGAAGTTCAGGGAAATTGCTGATGTCTTCAAATTTTGCAATTCTTTATCCATGATTTGTTCATCTGCAATTTTGTCATAGTCTATCAAAGAAATTTCTTCAATTCTCGATAAAGTATCTGCAACGATGTTGTCTGGGCCTTCTACGTCCTGTATATCAGTTGAAAACTGAGAGATGTATTGTAATGTCTAAGTTGACGAGGTGATGCTTTTTCTGGCTTTTGTTTAAATGCAAAGATTATGGGTTTATGGTCGGTGAATATTGTAAATGTTCTTGCTTTCAGTAAAAATTTAAGGTGTTTGATGGAGAGGTAAATTCCAAGTAACTCTCTATCGTAAGTACTGTAATGCTTTTGTGCTTCGTTTAGTTTTTTGGAATAAAATGCAACAGGTTTCCATCCGTTATCTTCAAATTGTTGAAGTACCGCTCCAATCGGCGAGTCTGAAGCGTCTGTATATATGACAGAGGTAGTTCATAATTCGGGAATGATAAGAGTGTTGTACTGACTAAATCATCTTTGCATCGCTGAAATTGTTTCTTAGCTTCATCGGTCCACTGAATTTTCCGTTTATCTTTTTTTCGGGCTCCTTTAAGGTAGTCGTGTAGGAGAGATTGGTTTTTTTTGATGCATTTTTTAAATATCGCCGATAAAAATTAATAAGGCCTAAGAATGTTCTGAATTCGTGAATGGTTGTTGGAAGCTTGTAATTAACAATTAATAGTTTGGACTTTCTCAGGTAAAGGTCGTGATCCTTGAGGAGTAATTAAATAACCCAAGAATTCTATTTCTTGTGTGCCAAAGATGGATTTGGAAACATTCATGCGGAGTCCATAAGCATTTAATCTCTCAAACACAAGCTTCAAATGGATTTTGTGTTGTTCTTCACTAGCAGAGACTATCAGAATGTCATCTAAGTATGGAAAAGCGAAATTTAGACCAGAAAGAACTGTATTTATAAATCTTTGAAAATTTGCTGGTGCATTTTTCAAACCAAAACTCATAACATTAAATTTATATAATCCAAAAGGAGTAATAATAGCACTTTTACATCTGTCTTCTTCGGCAATGGGCACTTGGTAGTAGGCTTTAAATAAATCTATTTTGGAATAAATATTCGTACCTTTTAATATATGATGGAAGTCCTCTATCCTAGGAATAGGATATCTATCAGGAACTGTTCTATCGTTTAACTGTCTATAATCTCCACATGGGCGAAGAGTACCATCTTTTTTTAGCATCACATGCAGAGGACTTGCCCATTGAGAACTCGAGGGTCTTATGTTATTGTCCAACATGAATTGGAACTCTTGCTTAACTACTGCAAGCTTTCGAGAATCCAACTGTCTTGCTTTAGAATGCACAGGTTGCCCATGTGTTATGATATGATGTTGAACATTATGTTTGAAACCTAATAAGAATAAATTTGGTTTGCATAAGTCTGGGTATTGTTTTAGAAGAGTATTAAATTTTGTTGAATGGGTTACTGTAACAATATCACTATTTTCACGGATGGAAGCAACTTCATCAGTTACCTTTAGTTGAGTTACTCCATCAATCAGTTTCTTGCCACGTAAATCAATTATTAATTTAAATTTGTTAAGGAAATCAGCTCCCAAAATTCCTTTATTAATTTTAGCTACTATAAATGGAAATTGGAATTCACGCCCAAGTCCTAAATCAAGTGTTTAACATTTTTTATACCATATGTTTTGATTTCGGTACCATTCGCTGCATACAACTTGAAATCCGTGGATTATTTTTCTTGTTCTGATGCAGGTAAAATGCTAACATCTGCACCACTATCTACTAAGAAACGCACTTTCGATTTTTTATCTCTGATAAATAGGCAAAATTGGCGACGTTCTTTAACATTATCGGCAGTAGAGCTTGCCACCTCTTCTACTGCGCATTATCGTTTCCCTGATTGGATGATCTATCAGTTGACCAACTGCACGGCTGATACATTTCTTCTGATAACATTTGTTACCGAAACGGAAATGATAAAAACAATATTTTCCTTTAGGATTAAATCTTTTCCTAGAAGTACTGCGAGATCGTCTGCGGGACGGAGAGTTGGTTTTAAATTGTGGTCTCGATATATGATGAACAGTCATTTCGGCAATTCGCTGTTTCAAGGGATTGAATTTTCATTAACAGTTCTGTATTCGAGCAGTTACTAGCTGTTGATACACCACAAATCTCTTTAGAAGGCGTCATATCAGAAATTTTATCAGCCATGATCGCTAACTTGGGTAATTCTTCGTCACTAACAAGTATTATATTACGCATAGAATCCGGCAATTTCTCTAACCATAACGTTTTCATTAAATTTTCGGACACATCCGATGTTGCAACAGATTTTAATTTTTGTAATAATTGACTGGGTTTCAAGTTACCTAAATCGATTCCTGTAAGAAGTTTTTAAATTCTGTACTTTGGCTTTCCTTAAATAAATCCAGAAGCCTTGTTTTGGATTCTGTATATTTAGTAGCGGAATTACTTGTTATGATATCCCAGATGTTCTCAACATATTTTGGTTCTAACTGTGATACTAAATAGTTAAATTTCGCTTCTTCCGAAATAATTCCATTTATCTTAAACTGACCCTCAACTTGAAAAGGTGCTACTTTGGTAGACGGTTGCACGGATTTTGGCGAGCGATATGACTTATGGTAAATCCATTGCTAGACAAGTTGTTTATGGTAACCGATACTTGTCATTTTATTTAAAAAATAATGCGTTTTATTGTGCATAAATTCCGTGTTTTAAATATTATTTATGACTTCAAAATAATAAAAATGAATTTAATTTTAATATCTATAAATTTAATCTAATGTTTTAAACATTATTTATGGCTGTTAAATATTAAAATACAATTTAATTTTGCATTTTTTTAAAATATGATTTTATTATGAATGATTATTTAAATAATTTTACTTTCTATGCGTGATGTAATCAGCTCCCTGATTGGTTACTGAATATTTGTGCATTACCGCGCCATTTTAAAATTTTATTATTCATCTCTTCGAATTCCTCAGATTTCAAAGCGAATGGATGTGTCCGTTTCGAATATAAATGTTGTTATTGGTAATTACCAAGAATTATTGGTATCGGAATAAAAAAATTGCCGTTTGAAGCCTTATTTTGCCAACCTGGCTTTCCTAATCAAAGATTTATTTAGAAATTCTTAATAGCGTCAGAGGAAATTTATTTTTAATTTTTGGAGAAAACGAAAAAACAAAACCAAAAAGCACAAGCACTAAACACAATAATTAACTCAGACGGTTCGCAAACACTATCAGGCTTAAACTAACAATGGCGAGTGGGAGGAAGTGGACGTGTCAGTAAGATTAAGACGAGAGAGGGGGGTGAAGCGGGCACTGCAAGGGTGAGTAAGAAATCACTTACTCATCAGAGGGTAAGGTTCCGAGAAGGCCTGGGATATTTTTGCTATAAATAAGCACGATGTTAGCAAATTTAACGTTACGCTCAGTTTCCTGAACATTTTTATTTTCTTTGCTTTACGCTTGTAAAAAAAAAAAAAACACCTTTGTGCGGCAGGCGCGGATGATCCGTCCGCGGATAATCGGGAGTCTACTGTATAAAGATTAAACCACACTTTAATTTTCTATTTCGGAGAAGCACATTAAAATCTTGACTGCTTGAACTGCTTGAAGTCCTAATAAAAGTTTTTCAGGTATTATTCAAAGAAAGCGACACTCTTCCATGTAATGGTATACTCACCAGGCTGCCTATGAACGAGGCCTTATCCCTAATCGAACAGACTTTCCTAATCAATACTTCACATAATTAAATCCAAATGTAATAATTTTTTTAAAACTTTTTGAAGAATATATTTACAGGAATAAAGCAAATTATGTATAATTTGAGAGTTAGTAGGGTAGTGAGCTGTTTATACCAGAAAGCCGTTGAGCTGATGTGAGTGCTGAAAACATAACAGAAATGCAATAAATAGGTAAGATGGGAGTACTTTGGTGCTTTTTGAAGAAAAGTGCATGGAAGAAACGAGACTTGTAATATAAATACTGTTACAGGTGAGCTTACAGTGTAAAATCTAAATAATTAAAAGTAAATACCTCTAAATATGGGATATCTAGAAATAAATTTAACACAAATGCAATAGGTTATAGCAGAATTAACACACATACATAGCCAGAACTTAATCATTGTCCATATTGAGAAGTGACATGAGTCTTTTAGAGATCACAGGGTTATGCATATGATATTGATAAATTTTGACATCAAGGTTGTTGATCTGTTTTTGCCTTTCAAAGTAATTGTTGGCAAGTCGGTAATAACAAGTTACTAATAACTCGACTTTCAGTTGGTAGTGAATCCTGTTTTCCCTTAAG